AACAGGTTCTGAAATTCTAACACACGCTTTGGAAGAGTTGGAAGGGCTGGTGCAGGGCCTTGCCTCAGATTGCTCCATTTGGCTGCAGTGAATATTCTTAGTTGTTTTTTTTTTTTTTAAACAATGTGTTCATCTGAATTCCTGTGCAACTAGTAACAGGATTTCTGAACTGAGAACCCTGCAACATCCTTCCATCAAACATCAATTAATTTTTGTGTGTGTGGTACTGGGGATCAAACCTAGGACTCTGTGCTACCATCGAGCCTTAGCCCCAGCTTTGATTTAATTTTTAAAAAATTTTTTAAAAATTTTATGTATTTGGTAGAGGGTGTTACTGTGAAGCTTAGACCGGTAGTGATTCTCCTGTTTTCAGCCTCCCCAGCATGGGGATTACAAGTATGTACCATTGCTCCTCATCTTGGTGGCTGGCTCAGCATGCCCGGGGTGTGTGGCCAGTGCATAATGTGGTGCCGGGGATCGAAACCTAGTCCTTGCGCTTGTCTAAGCAGGCGTTTAGTCCATTGAGCTATCTTGCCAGCCCTAGTTACTTTATTTGTTGGCACTTTTTTTTTGGCGGTACCAGGGATTGAACTCAGGACCCTGCACTTGCCAGGCAAGCACTTACTCTACTGAGCTATCTCCCTGGCCCCGACTTGGCACTTTCCTCCTCACTTCTTAGTCATGTTAAGCTTCCCTGCTCCATCTTTCCAACCAGACAACACTAGCATTTTCTTCTATGGGCGTTCGAGTTATCATGGTTTCTTTTGTTACTGTTTTAAGGTATAAAGGTTTTTTTTTTTTTTTTTGCGTTTATCTTCCTCACAAATGGAAATCATGTAAAAATTCAAATTTTCTGGCTCTAGGTAAAGTTCATCTAGGCGAATGTTAACCCATTTTAAAGCTGTCTTTGCAAGCTGATCAGTAATCATCACAATACACAATTTAATGTTTGAATAAACACTCTTGCTTGTCATGCTTTATTTCCATCCTCCCTGTGTAAATGGGTCCCAGGCATTCCCTAAGATTTCAGGCTCAGTTTGTGTTTCTTTGCCTGAGGGTCGCACCTCCGTACACCTTGGGTGGCTTTATAAAATAAAGCAAGTGCTCTTACAAGTTTGATTTCTTTCTACCCACTCTTCCTGGAGGTAAAACATTATAAAGTGAAGTGAGATCTCCGAAACCTTGAGGCAATACAACTCCACAAAAACAAAACAAAACAAAACAAAACAAAACAAAACAAAACAAAACAAAAAAAACCCAAAACAAACTGTAAGCAATGATTCTGGATTGCTCCTGGGCTGCATTGATGATGCTTTGCCCGCAGTCTGATGGCATATAAGGATAGTACATATTTTCAAATCTTAATATTTTAATCCTCATAAAATTATCAAGTGTCCTATTTTATTTTATTTGGAATATCCAACCAAGTTTTCATTACAACTGGCTCAGAATCTTCCTGAGACTCCTTCTGTTCCCCATAATCTGGGTGACACATCTCGATGCTGTGGCAATGAACCGCTGCCATCATATGGCAATCTGAAATTAGACGCTGCTTCTTAACCGGCGGTAATCGTATTCTTGTTATATTCTTTTGAAACTGGGACCTGTTGGGTTTCTTTGTCCTACTCACAAAACACATAAAGGATTTCCTTTGATACAGAATAACTAAACCAGAACACTATTTCTACTGTGAAATGAGGATTTCCCAAACAAAAGACCTCCTTTCACGACGGGAGACAAAGGTCACGGTCCTTTAATTTCAAGCGGTTGTGTCTCAGGGTTGAACAAGGGTCCTCAAAACACAGTCTTGGCCTCCACAGCTTTTCATTATCTCAGAGGCCAATAACTAAATATTTTAGCTTGCATGATCAAGTACATAGCAAAAAAGGAGCTGATGTACATATTACATGTATTTTCCATATATGTATAATTGTCTCCAAAAATAAAGTAGCTCTCCCTTAGGTGCTCAGCCTTCTCATTTCACCTGTGAAGCAACTTTTTATTTGAACTGAAAAACAAAAAATACACTTAGGAATCTACCTAGACAATTCCCTAAACCCAGTCCCTGGTTACCTTAAGCAAGATATTTAAGTAAACTGCTCTTTAAATATGATCAGCATATTTTTCAATTTAAGTTTAAAAATGCATATTCTTTCCTGGCATTTGACTTTCTAGCTTTTCCAGTTTTTCCACATGGGAACTGTTCTTGTCTTTGGTGGCTCCTTTGACTTCTCTCCATGGCTGACTTCTTTTTGTAAAAGGGTGTTGCTGAGTGTCCCAGGCTGGCCTTGAACTCTTGATCCTCCTGGCTCAGTCTCCTGAGCAGCTAG